GGGGGCCTTCCAAAATTTACCTCGGAACTTAGTTCATTAAAACTCACTCGCCGAATAAGAAAAGCGAGTGGAGGCCAAGGCCGAATTTTCGGAGCCCACATATATATATCTTTGTTTTTAAGTTACTTACATTAAAATGATGAGGAATATGTTTTTTAAGTTACTTGCATTACGCAATGTGATTTTTATCATTTCATTTTCTAGTCTTGAGTCTTGACTCTTGGGTATAATATTTGATTAAATGCAAAGGGTTTATAGCTCTAGGTGATTTTATAATTAAGAAAGATAAATAATAAGGAATATGATGTTTGAAAGTTTTTGTGCTTGTAATTTGTGTTTAAAGGTTAGTGTTTGAATTTCTTATTTGTTTTAAATAAAGGAATAATTTAAATAATACTTTTTAAACGTTTTTAAATAATACACATAACTCACGCACTACATACACATATAGAATGCACATAATACTCACAAAAGACGCACTTAGTGCGCATAATACACGCACACGTTACACAGTAAATTTTATTTATTAAATTATATTAAATAGATTATGCAGACTACATTTAGTATGAACTGAGGGGCCGTGACATGAATAATAATTATCTTTGGCTGTGGAGTGACAGGTGGCAGATATGGTTGAGAGGATAAGAGGGTTGATGAATTTTTTATGAGCCTTTATTACTTACTATTGCTCAACTACTATATAATGCGATAAAACTTGAAGAAAATGGTAACTCATGATTTTCAAACAGAAGTAATGCAGCCTTGACCGAAGGTAAGATTTTTTTATTTCAGAAAGTTAGTCTAAGGCTGCTGTTAGTTTGTTTGAAAATTAAGTAGCCTTAGACTTATTTCTAAAAATCAAAGGAAGGTTCTCTTGTAATCAAAGAAAGGTTATATAACCTGCGGTCCTGCATTACTTCTGTTTGACAATCATGTGTAAACATCAAAGCAAGCTTCTCTTGTAATTATTTTGGTTTAGTTTTTTTAATAGAATGTACATAGGTTTTAGCTGCTACATGAATTATGATTGATGTATTGTCCAATATAAATCATATTTGACAACCAAGCCTTCCATTCATTACTGTGATATTTATCATCCTTTCATGGACATGGAAGGAGGATAAATATCGCAGTAATTAATGGAAGAGTTTGGTTGTAAAGATGATTTATATTGGACAATCCAACAATCATAATTCCTGTAGGAAAGTTGATGTTGTTGAAGATGTAAATTAAGTTACAGCAATTTAAGATGTACATTGACAATCATATTGGAAGAAGTTTTACAAATATACGTAGTGTTCTGCTTAAATACGCATTACATACGCAGTGTTTACTCTTATTATATGCATAAAAACGCATAGAATACGCATTGTTCTGCTTATCGACATTAAATACGCAGGTAGCACGCAGTGTTTACTCATAACATAAGCATTCAAAACGCATTTCGTACGCAGTGTTTACTCATAACATACGCAGTATATACGCGTAAAGTACGCACAACTTAAAACTGAACACACACAAAATTAATCGATGGCTCGACATTATATAATACTGAACAGTGAACACATCCAGTTCGCATACTAAACCCTAAACGAGAGCTGCTCTCTTCGACTGGAGGTTTCTTTTACTGCGAGTTTGGTTGCTGTCTTCACCGTCCGACCGGCGGCCGCTTCATCTCCTCAGACGGTCTGACCTGCATCAGGTCATAGAATAGATTAGTAAGAACTCATTCACTTCCTATTTTTGCTCAATCAGAATGGTCAGAAATAAGGATAAAGCTGCATCGGGTCATAGAAAAGATCCAGCATGGAAACATAGCACTCAGGTGGATGTAGGAGGCAGTGATAAAACATATGTCTATTTGAAATGCAATTACTGTGATAAAGCTGTGAAAGGTGGTGTGACTAGGATGAAGGAACATCTTTCAGGTTCTCACAAGAATGTTGCTCGATGCTCCAAAGTTCCTGATGCTGTAAGGGATGAGATAAAGTTATACATGAATAAGTCTACAACATCAAAACATCTTGCACAGAAGCAATTTGAGGATAGAGTTGATGCTGGATCTTACTAAGGGAGTGAGCGCAGCGTTAGGGATTCATCTTCTTCTATGAAGCCCATTGCATCTAGGGTGCTAGAGGGCCTATGGATCATTATATGGTTGACACATCAGATGATAGGCCTTCTACTACACAGAAGATGGCCCCAGAAAATGCAAGAGAGGCGCGGAGAAGAGTGTGTAAGGATATAGACAGATTCTTCTACGAAAATGCAATTCCATTTAATGTTGCAACATCACCTGCTTATTACAACATGATTCGTTCAGTTGGAGCATTTGGGAGAGGGTTCAAACCTCCAACCATGTATGATTTAAGAACATGAATTTTGAAGGAGACTAAAGCCAAAAAAATAACCAAGTTTATTTACAACCACTCTTGGATTCTAGCTCTTATGAGAAAGTTTTCGAAGAAAGAAATTCTAAGGCCAGCCGCAACAAGATTTGCCACCGCATACTTGACCTTAGAGAGCATGCTGGATGCCAGACAACCTTTAGAGGCTATGTTCACATCTACACAGTGGTTGAGTTGTGCTTGGGCGAAGAAGGCTGAGGGAAAAGAGATTAGAAAGATTGTTTTAAATGACAGATTTTGGCAAAGTGTCTTATATGCCATTACAACCACTAGACCTTTAGTTCATGTTTTAAGGATGGTGGATGCTGAGAAGAAGCCTGCAATGGGTTTCATCTACAATGCTATGGATGAAGCCAAAGAGATGATTGCCTCCAACTTAGAAGGCAGTGAGGGAAGCTTTAGGGAAATTTGGAATATTATTGATGATAGGTGGGAACTACAGCTTCACCGACACTTGCATGCCGCTGGCTACTACCTAAACCCTCAGTATCAATATGCAGAGAACAAGTCTACAAACCCTGAAATAAAGTTGGGATTATATCATTACATGGATCGTCTAATAAGTGATGCAACTGAAAGATCAAATGCTGACTTGCAATTGGTACCTTTTAGGAACAAAAAAGGTTTTTTTGGATTACAACAAGCAAAAGATACAATTGTCAAACAATCTCCAGTTGAGTGGTGGATTCAATTTGGTGATGGGACTCCAGAATTACAGCGTTTTGCTGTGAAAATTTTGGGCTTGACATGCTCTTCATCTGGCTGTGAAAGGAATTGGAGTACCTACAATCAAGTGCATAAAAAGAGGAGAAATCGCTTGTCGACATTGAGGATGAACTCACTGGTGTACATTATGTACAATAGGAGACTCAGAGATAGAAATTTGAAGAAAAAATGATTAATGGATGATGAAGATCCTTTGCTTTGCGATGATGTGACATCTGATGATGAGTGGTTTGTAGATGATGAAGTTGAAGTGATGCCGTCTGAATTACAAGATGAAGATTTAAATGTTGATTTCTTTGATGGTCTTAAAGCATCCACATCCACCACAACTCAAGAACAAATCAAAAAAGGTATATAAATAATATAGTTTTCTTTTCTTAAACTTTTATTAATGTATTACACTATTATTCATTATGATATTGTTCAAAAATATTTACTATTTAGGAAAGATGAAGATAACTAATAATGAGGAAGAAGAAGCTGATTGGGAGATATTGGACTCTATAGGAGAGGGGGAAGAGGAGAGAGCAGCTCATCATAATAATGATTCAAATGAAGACCCCTTTAGTGATGATTGATGAGTGATGATAATGCTGATGACTAGTGAGTTCTTAACTTATTATGTGATATATTAATGTCATTGCTATTTATCTTGTGATTTTTATGTTTTATATATTATTTACACATTAGTATATACAAAATTTATTATTTTATGTTTACGCAATTTTTTGATTTTGAGGCTTAGGCCTCAAATCGCCTTGAGGCTTACGCCTCGCCTCACGAACGAAAAACGCCTCAATACCCGAATACGCAATTTTAAACCTTGACTTAAACTAATAGAGAATGAGGATCCATATAGCTGGCCCTAAGTAATTTGGATTAGCTGATGATGATATAGTATTAGAAACAACAATCTATAAGAGTGATTGAACCACATTAAATTCAATATTAATATGACAGATTGGATTTGCTAGGAGATTTCATTGAGGTGGATGATATAGTTGGACCTCAATCCATAGCTGCTGCATGACAATCATACTACACCAATAGCATCCACCTATTCTCTAGTTCTTCAATCTTCATCCCAGAATAAAAGAAAGAAAGAACACTCGTCATTCCACTATCTATCTAGCAATGCATCATTTTGTTCTATCCATCAATATCTATTATGCATTTTATTTAAGCATCTAAAACTTTAGGATTTGACTGGTTGATCATTACTTGTAGAAATCAACATTTCGAATTAGATAGGTCTAACAAGAGAGCTGGGAAGATGGAGAGACTTTAATTAATGTAATCAATTTTTGTATGCATATCCTCAGAGAACAAGCTCAGAATAAGATTTCTCCATGATAGTTGAAAAACAAGCTATGTTGTGTAAGGAGGGAAGGAGAAGGAAGGTAGAAAAAGTAATGCAGTTTAGGCATTCAAACGGTAAATTAAACTCTAAGCAATCATAGGCAATTATTAAAAATCAAACTAGGTAAAAACAACTATGAACTTATTCGATTTCCAAGCCTTTTTAAGCTCATCTATGTTTATGCTGTAACTTCTTTCAATTTTTAATTTGACTAAGTTGTTATTTTCTTTTGGATTAAAATGGATTTAAATTTGAAGTTTTTTGGGATTAGATAGTATTAGATTGAATTTAAATATTTGTTATCATCCTTTTTATACTATTTATAAAAATAGAGAATCATGTTGAACATTTGGATTATTACTTGAATGAATGAAATTGTTTATGCTCAATAACGTACTCCCTAAATACAAATTGTATATGTGAATTGCTCCAGAGTGTGTGCAGAGTTTCTTTTTTCCCATCTCTACAAAGAAGCAAAAGCAAAAGACTGAAGCAACCAACCAAACCTTCATAGCTGCTGGAACTAATCGTCTGAAATAGGTGCCGACGCATATCATAGGCGGGGGAGGAGACCCGTCGCAAGAATTCCTCAGAGCTGCTGGGTATGCTTCCATCCATTCCCAATGTTCTCTCCACCTCCTCTCCTTTTTTTCCCTCTTCCTCCTCTGGGTCCTCCCCAAGAGGCTTCGGAGAAGAGGATGAGGATGACGCCGTAAGAATCCTCGAACACCTTCTTCCACTATATTTGCAGCCAGCAGCAGTCCAGGAGCAAGTGGCGGCTGCCAAGTCAGTGGCGTTGCTGCCCTTTCTCAGGATTGAGGAGGAAGGAGAAGGAAAGAGAAATGAACGATTAGCTGATTGATGGTTTCCGCTTGCTTTTGGGCGACATCGGGGCAGGACGACAAGGGTGGGTGCGTCGCCGCCGCAGCTTCTGCTGCGGCTCCTCGTCCACCATCTCTGCCCACCAACACAATGATTTAGAACAGGGATTGAAAACGCCGGGCTCGACGGAAAAGACGTGTTGGTCAGAGCTTCCATCGTCGTACAGATCATCTCGAGCTTATGCTCCTCTTACTACCAAGACAATTAAAACTGCCAAGGGCTGGGGCAGATGGTTAGCAATGAAGGGAAGGGTCAAACGAGCAACTGGAGCCCGAGGGGCCACCGCCGCTGCCCTCCGCCAGAAGGGTAAATTATTACGCCGCTGCCCTGAGAAGACAAGTCCCGGAAGGCAAGAGAATAAAACGTAAACGGGAATGACTCGCAGGCGTGATGTACAGAAGAATTTATTAGGTTTGATTAAGACGCAAGAAAATGTGAAATTTATCTCATAATTATATAATGCCCATTATGAGATATTTATTTATATAATAGTATTGGATTTAAATTTTCTTCACGAGTGTTATCTGACTTTATTTTTAGTAAGCACGTGGACAGTGTGAAAGGAGAGTGAGCAAATTAGAGATCTCAAATGAGTAGAAAGTTTTTTAGTAATGTAAAATTTTTTTTTTTTTTTTAAATACCTTCAACAACACCCATTTATAAGATTTTAGGGCTAGTAGACAAAAATATAATACTACATTGATTACATATACAACGCTAAGTTATACTAAACACATATGTCACTTTTTGATTGATGAGAGAACTGTGATGAAGGATTCATCTCTAGGCTAGTAGACAATGATGAGATGGTACTGGCAAGCGGCATAAAGGGGGAGCTCTATGATGCTTGATGTCTTATGGGTTGGTGCCGAGTTGGATGGGGTCCTATAGTGATGAAGTAGTTGTGAGTTGTGATCTTGTGCTAAGTCGTTGTTCTATAGGGTTTACTCAAAAGAGGGCAACAAATCTACGACATCCAAGAATTCAAATTAAGAAATTGACCTAACAAATCAACATTACATTTATCATTGAAATGCGCATAAATTTTTATTTTGTTTTTTTTTAAAAGACCACCTTTTATCCACTTGTGTGTATGTATTGCAGCTTCAGTGACATTTATTATGAATTAGAATATTTTCACACTTATAAAATTATTGAAGTTTCATCTTAATGTGATTGCAATTTAGAATGGTGGATCCAACATGAAAAGATTTCAAGTTGTAGATTGGAGAGATTTAACATAACTTTTAGAGTAGGTTTGTTTAGTTAGATAGAAATTATATTCTTGACTGCTACCCACTATAAATTTAATGTTTATGGTCAATTTTTTTTTTAAAGTATCAAAATCACATTTTTAGTATTTTTATTTTTGTCCTTGGTGTTCTTTAAAGTTTTTATTTTGTTGTATTTTAGTCTAATATGTTATTTTAATTGGCCCCGACGTAAATGATGTTCAAACAATACTTTGACAATCTCCTAGCATCTCCCACATGTAAGGGGTATTTATAAGGAGTGATGGTCCTTCCCATACGTTTAAAAAAAATATGCATGATTAGTATTTGCAATAATGAGGCCTATAATTTTTAAACTTACAATGCTTAAAAAAGCGTGTATGGGATTTTGATATCCACATAAAAAAATATATGCTTGATGAAACCCTCCTGATGCGTTAACATAATTTGCACGATACTCTTAAAGAAGTATGCGTAGGTATTCATTACCTACACAAGCAAGAACATATGTTTATTTGCACAGTGGAACAAAGAGCAAGAATACCTAACATTTAGACTTTTGAATTATATCTTTGTACAAGGTGACGACAATGATGCGATGAGAGCAGAAACGTAATTTATTATTATTTTTTATCAATTTATAAAGAGAGAACGAGACTGTGAAAACTAGTGAGAGAAAGAGAGTGAAGTAGACGAAGAGTTTGAGAGAAAAAGAGTAGAGCACCGTACAAGCCGAAAGATAGGATAAGATCACAAATTGGCATAGGACATGAAGATGGGGAAGGATTTGGATGAAATTTAATGATATTTTATCTATTTTTTCATTTAAATTCTTTTATATTTAATAAAATTAATAAAAAATAATACAAAAAGATTAAAAATAAATGTGAACCAAAAGCTCAGAGCATTTTTAATTCCTAATGGACCTTGATTTACATTTCATCTTGGTCCATGCAATATGAATGTCCTTTTTGAGGTTTTAGATAAATTAGCATTGTTCATCCAATCAAATTGATTATGCAATGTCACATCTATAGTCCATCTTTTTCGTAGCATTCAATCAAATTGATTACAAGGGTGCTTCTTTTGATAGTTTCCAACACCTCGTAAATTATTGAGTTTAACAATAAACTTTTAACGAAAACATAAGTCAACTTATCCCAACTATACTTAAAACTTCTGTAAAACTTCTTTGAAGATTCAATCGAATGTACCGAATCCATATTTTGATTGAATTTAATAGTGATAATTTTTTTTTTGGGTGGTTTACTGCGGTATTACAATTTAAGATTTGGATGATATACCTGGAAAAAAAAAATGTTCGTAACAGACCTTAAAATTGCATAAAAAAGAGCAAAACATGATAAAAGCACAATAAGGTTTTATTTATGTACAAAACAATCGAATTCTATACCTAAGACATAACGAATCTAAGTATTATTTCATAGAATAAAATATCTTATACTTCTTATAAAATGCATACTATATTTTTTATCATGTCTTGCATTTCTGATGCATTTTTGCATCAGGACCACCTTCAACAATTTTTGACACCAAAAATTCATGCGTTGGATGTTACAGAAATTAAAAAAAAAAAAAATTATATTAACCTATCATGTTTTCTATTTGGTTAAAAATAAAATCTTTTTTAATAAGGGAAGGCCGGATTCTGGGCTTTTGCTTACAAAAAATACCACACTGATTAGGGATATAATAATCACTCATCATAGTTTTCTCGTCGAAATTCAAGCAGCATCTAGAGTTTCACTTTAGATAATAAATAAATATTTATTACAACCGGGGAATATAATTATCAGATCCTCACACAGAAAAAAATGTTTAAAAATCATCAGAACTTGGAGAATAATGCAAGAGACCGGCAAATAATTGTACTGGTACCCCTTACCCTATATTGGAAAATAATGCCTGTTTCATTCTTTCGTTATTGCAGCAAGTATAGTATGAGGAGTGGGATCAATGCAGGAGGAATATTCTGTAATTGCTATGCTCCCAAATTGGCTTCAAAAGTATTGTTCTTACAACTAGTGTTGCAAGGGTAGGGGCAGTCAATCTTCTGGAAGGGGCTCCGCATATAGAACCAGTCTCCAACAGCTTCTGCAATTATCTATATTAAACAACAAAGTGTCCAAAGAAAAGGTCAAAATAGAAGAGGAAAATAGAATGTGCTTGTATAATAAACAACGAATTCCTCATCTGGGAAACTGATTTGCTTGACAAGAAAGCATAATGTGATTTTAGTACATCAGCACATTTTTCTCTTGTTTCCTATAGTTTTACAATGAAAACATAAACAAAACATTAAAGGAATTTGGAAATTTAAATATAATGAATATAAAAAGCTCACTTTATTCCCAAGCATAGGCGAGTCGTATCTGAACCAAGTCTCCTGCATCTCCGACTGGCAATGAGAGTAGCACGAGTTTATGAAAAAGCCTCTAGAAGAAGAGTTACCAATTCCCGCCAGGGCATGCAGAAACTCTATCCGAAAACCTAAGGTGCAAATTCGAACAAGAAATAGCATCTAATCAGTGGTTCTAACAGAGATAGCCACTACACACACCGAAGTGGAGCAGCCGATTCCTGCAATCTCAACAACGACAGCCACTACATCTTTCAAGATGCAGCACTACGTTCTCCACCTAAGCCACTAACCGTTGGATAGAAATCATCTCAACTCATCTAGGCCTTACACCTGTAAAGCAAACTACAATCTCTCTCTTTTTTTTTTTTTTTTTTAAATCATCAGGTTCAACAGCTTTTAAGCAAACTACACTCTCTACATATATATATATATATATATCTTTCTCTCTCTCCTTCTCCTTCTCTCTCTTCTTTTCCCTCTCTCTCTATATATCACTCTCGCTCTATCTTACTCTATATATATAAACCCTATATTATAGACATAATTTAAAGCAGCGTTTGAACAATAAAATATAACTCATCATGTGAGAAGTTACATATATATATATATATATATATATAAAAAGATTGAAACATAATGGGGCATTACCCAAAAATGTCATGAAAATATATTGATTCATAGGTATGGTAATGTTGTTAAGAAATTTGATAAAGCTGGTGCTTTTAAAATGGCTCTTTAAATAAAAATATCAATCCATAATGGCTAGCACAAAGCAGAATTTATGTGCAATAACTGTGATTAATAAAAATCTTATAGACTTATGAAAAGTCTCTGCAAGTACCTGCCAAGAATCATATGCTGCATTTAATATAAATAGAGGTGTTTGAATCTTCTGTGCGTAGTACTGGGGGAAGAAGCACTGCATTGCATTTAATTGTGTTTATAAGATGTTAATAGTAAAAGCTACTTGGCTGATATATGGATATAGAGCTCACTGACCATGCCTGGAGACAATCTTGTAGTGCACGAAGAAGGTAAATTCTTTGCTGAACCCTGCAAGAGATGTACTGCAAAGACGTTAATAATAAAAAAGTAACAACTTGAATTTGGGCAAAACATAACACTATTAAAAAATATATGTTCACTTTTTAAATAAAAACATCACGAGGAAGTAAAAGCCTTGTATTGTTAGTTTAATTTGGTTCTAAGCAAATGAATTAAAAAATATAACCAATAAGCAACTTACATGAGTTGTCACCACATCATTAAAATAGGCTTTTATGTGTTCTGCTCCAGTGATGTCCTTCCTAAAGAAAACAATATTTCAGCGGATAAACAAAAGAAGGTTTTATGAGAAAATGAGATTCTACAAGTAAAAACTAAATGTTGGATTCGTTTAGAGAATTTGCAACATCTTTATATGCGTTGGTCAAATGCTCAAGTTCAAATATGACAAATAGAATATTAACTTACGCATTGATGAAGAAGCCAGCATCTGAAAGGCATTTTACTCGTGCACTGACCGGAAGAAGGGACCTAAAATTGTCGCAGTGTATTATAGAAGTCAACCCGCCAGCTGAACAACCAGATAGGAGAGCCTGCATCTACTTATTAGTTAATTAGCTTGTTCAATTTTTAATATTAAATACTAGGAAATCTATGGATTTGTACATTTTCAGCCCTGTCCATTCCTTTTGCGAGTAGATCCTCCATAATTGCCACCCATATCCTTGCACCTCTATAATGAAGTTTTGTAACCTGATCAAATGCACACAGATAAAACTGAGGCAATTTTTTTTTTCCACAAAGTTCAAAAAACTTATTATCATACCAGCTATTCAAGTAGGAGTCTGTAGATCTATGTATGCTCATAGCTAATGCTGAAAATGAAAAAGCAAAGCCTATTAGACTCACAGGATTTACTCTATCCACATCTCCAGTAAATGATGAACCATCACAGTAACGAACCTTGACCTTGTTCCATTTATAAAAATCTGATTGCCATGAGCCAACAAGTCAGTTGCACGAGAGGAAGTGTTAAAGGATTTTAACATGTAAGCATAACAACTATTTAGTAACAGCCAGTTTGAATGCATGTTCAGTAATCATGGTATGGATCTTACAATTATCTTGACAGCTGAAACCAATTGTTGGGAATTTAATAAATCTGTTGAAGTATAGCTAAGAAGCAACATGAAATAAACATAAAAAGTTTGATGGGAAATGAGCAATAAACTTTAATAAATAATAACAGATGGCTATAGCAACTGAATATTTATATGTAGGAAAAATATGCCCATTCAATTTTTGTAGCTAGAAGGTTCGTCAACAAACTATGATATGTAATATTACAACTGAAAATGTCATTATATAAAGATGGTATCCCAATGAAGTTAAACACGGCACTCAAAAAAAGATCAAAGCAAAGAGATCTCATGTAAGATTCGTTCTTTCAACATCAATTTGTTTATAATCACCAATCAATAGGTTGATATAGATACAAATAAAACTATGTTACAATCTTCAGCTTAAAGGCTATACATTACTTTTCAAAACAAGGCATCAAGAGATTGTGCACTGCAACAAAAGTTCTCTTTAATTGATCTACCTGGGTTAAATGACTGTCGATTGCTTAGAATCCCAGAGAAAGCTATCTGCTTTGCCATTTGTTTTGAAGAACCCAAGCGGCTGCACTTACGGGCCAAACAAGTAGATATATTGTTACACCAGCCTCCTCCCTGAGCAGATACATAGGACTTACAATTTATAACAGTAGAAAAGGTAGTTAGAAAGCATTAATGACGTAGCATTGATATCCTAAATAGAATAAAACAACTTCTTTTAAAGATATATGTACAATATAAGGGAGATGGAGCAATGTAAGGCCAAAATAAAATAAGCATGCAATGTTCAAAAAATCAAGAAGAAGAAGACGAAGAAGAAGAAGAAGAAGAAAAGAGGAAAACTTGAATTAACATCTGCAAAATCCTAAACATTATTGGAGAAAAGAATGCATGAAATTAAAATAACTCGAAAAGATAGTATGACTAGTATGATACAAACCTCAATTTGAACCAACCAGTTATTGACACCAGAGCCAAAACCCGGAGATAGATGATAAGCTGGAGGACTTCCATCTAGACATACTGCAGAATTATCACAGAAATATAAAGATATGATCTATAAGCTCTAAACTAGTAATTCAGGAGAACAATAGCAAGCCAATTGACATACTATTGCAATAGAACAGATCAACAAATTCAAATAAAAATAAAATTAAACCAACTAATATTGGATGCAGTTGAATCAGAAAGGATAACATAGCACTCATGAAATGAAGGGAAAAAAAAAAAATCACCTGCTCCTTCAGCCACAGCACTTTTAACATAAGTTATATTGACAAATGATGCATCCACTCTCAGAGTGAACAGTGCATAGAAAATTGCATGAATCAACGTACAGAATGCGGAAGCTTCCATTCTGCAAACTTAAAGGGGAAAAACACATATGCTCATATTTATTTTAAAAAGTACGACATAATGAAACACGTATCAAAGTAGTTGCATCGAACTATATTAGAAGAAGCATATATTTCATGGTTTGCTCAAACCTTAGAAGTTGGTATTTTTTTAGTTGAATAAAATTTAACATCTGGCTGTAGGTTTTGTCAAAGCTTGGCGGTTGAAATTCACTTGTTCAAGATCGAGTCATACAAGTTTTGAGATGATCAACTTGATACGTAATGTGCAATGCTTCATTCATGCAACTAGTTGTATACACCCAAAAATAGCTTAGCCCACAATCGACCAGGAGTCAATACAATGAGTCCATCATATTGAACTTGAGGTAGGCATGTCTTCATAGAATAGAACAGAAGAAGCTGTCGGTGCTACCATAAACTTGTTCATGAGAATAAGCAACTCACCCATTTATTTGGCCCTAGAGGCAGATTAGGTTGATCCATCCAATGCTTTTATCAAAGCAATTTGTTACAGCTTGGCCAAAGACGGTACCATCAGCTAGGCTTTCCACATGATATGCCCCATACTTAAAAAGTCTTAATGATTCTAAGAGATACAATTGGCATACCTTCATTTTATAATAAGTCTTTACTAGACTATTTATGTAATTTATTCATTTCTTATAGAGCTATGTCTCTAGTCCCACCTGTGAATAGAGTGTTAGTAAGCACGCCAAAGATATAGATCATTCTCTCAAGATCTATACTTTCAGATAGTAATGAAAACACAACATTCCTTTATGATTCTATATTTCTCTCTTTTTCTCCATTTCTTAGTCTTTATTGGCAGAAAGGTCCAAGTGTTGCCTATAAAAAGATTTGAATTCAACATCTTTTAAAGTGTATTGAGCGTGGGTTGATGTCAGAGGCTAAAAGTTAAACTCTGTAGATGCAAAACAAAAACCAACTAGAGAGGGAATAATCAGTTGACAGGGAGAACCAAAATTTCATCAAAGCAAACTACAATCAAGCGAAAAAATGCTCATGAGGATATTTCATCAAGCTTTATCCTGGTACGCGAGGTCGGCTACATGAATCCTTTTTCTCTATTGTGTCCTATTAAGAGCAAAAATCTCATTTAAATTTAATAAAAAAATCCCATTTATAATATTTTCTAACTAAAATTTTTTAGGTATATCTCTATTTTTTTAATATAGACAAAATCTAATACATCTACTGTCACGACCCAACCCGACCGGGATTGATCCCGCTCGCATCGGGTCGTGGCCAAACTCAAACTGACTGAACTGCTTCTAGGATCTGGTTTTGAAATTTGTTTCAGAATTTCTTCCAAACATTTACACACAGGAACAGACACACAGAACTACTATAAACATCAAAATACAGCGGAACAGATCATCTATCTTTTTCTTCCTCAAAAGAATCATATACAAATACAGCTCATGACTTTCAGACAGAAAGAAAAACAGAACAGAAAAGCTATGACTGTACAAAAGATCAAAAGTACAAAATACCTATAACATATCAGACTCTGAACTCCTACTCCAAGACTTCCTTCCCTTTCCCAGAACCTGAAAACCACGTAGAAAACAAGGATGAGCTACAACAGCTCAGCAAGACATCAAACCTCCAATCAGAATCCTCAGAATCCACATTAAACACATCAAACAAAATCCGTACAGAAATCAGATCAACAGAATCGTATATCGAATCAGAACATAAATCACAGAAATCATAATCAGAACAGAATCATACAGATCAGATCAAATCAGAATAGAACAGAATCGTACAGATCAGATCAAATCAGAATAGAGCAGAATCGTATCAGAATCAGATCAAATCAGAACAGAACAGAATCGTACAGATCAGATCAAATCAGAACATAACAGAATCATACAGATCAGATCAAATCAGAACAGAACAGAATCGTACAGATCAGATCAAATCAGAACAGAGCAGAATCGTATCAGAATCAGATCAAATCAAAACAGAACAGAATCGTACAGATCAGATCAAATCAGAACAGAACAGAATCGTACAGATCAGATCAAATCATATCAATTCAGAACATATCAAAATTCAGAACAGATTCCCTGACTCAGACAGAATCTCAACGGATTCTAGCCCTTTATGCCTCCCTTTCCAGACACTGACAGAATCTCTCGGATTCTGGCCCCTTATGCCTCCCTTTGTGCTCATGGAACCAGAACAGATGTGCTTATAGCACCAGAACAGAATTTATCATCGGATCTGGAACAGAACTTGCTTTCAGATTTCAGAGCTCATTTCAGATTTTTCCTGACACAGACAGGATCTCACAGGATCCTGACCCCTTATAACTCCCTTTTCATAGCACACAATCATATCACGTCATTTCAGAACAAATCCGAACAATTTCAGAAATCGTACGAAAATCCAGCGGCATAACAATAGTATACGGAATTTACACAAAATTCATAGATTCAGAAATTTATAAAATTACCACAGAACATTCACAACAACATTATAAGACTTTTATTCTACTGCCCAAACAATTTTAGTCTTCATTAGAAATTACAGTCAAAATAAAACACCGCCGAATCAAAACTATACGGTCAAAATTCTCCAGAAAATAATCAAAATGTGCGCACTCGGCACCTCAGAAACATACCAAAAGTTACGCGGTAAAAACTGAACCAATCGGAAAATACGGACGAAATTCACTAACGAAAACGAAATCCGGACAGAAAAATCGTTCAAACTTCACCGTTCTGAAAATTGAGAAAGGCGGAATGTGCCTTACCTTGCGTACACCAATTTCTTGAACTGTCTCGACGGACGAAAACGGACGGGAGTCGCCCAAAAATCACTTTTCCTTCTTTTTCCTTCGTTTTTCTCTCCTGGGCTTTTCTATCTCTTCAAAATATCTCATTTCTATATATATCCAGACTGATCGTCCCGGACGATTGCAACTTCGTCCCGGGACGAAATGGCTCTGGATGAATTTCGTCCAGACGAAATTAATTATCGTCCCTAGACGACTGGGCTCTGTAAAATTTTCGTCCAGACGATCCCAATTTCGTCCAAACGAACCATGCAGCCAAACATGTTTTCCTGCACAACCTGTACCAATCGTCTCGGACGATCCGACTTCGTCCGGACAAACCTGGGAGCAAAATGGCATTTACATCTACACTCCTAAATGGGTCATCGAAAGGCTGACATTTTTTATGAATAAACCACCAAGGTTACTCTCTCTAATCTTATTTGTCACTGGCTATGATGCACGACACGACACGGACACGACATTTTTTTAAAATATAGGACACGGGTGCAACGTGGACACGACAATTTTTTAATATAATATATAGAAATTAGGATGACATTATATTAAAAATGACAAGCAATAATAAATCAATTTCATGATAACTTATTTAGCTTATAACATAAAAATGTTTAGTACAAAATATCTAGTACAACCACAAAAATAAAAGCAAAAAATCATTTAGTACAACATGAATGTCCAACTACTCAATAGAGGGAATAATAAAATTAAATTCAGAGGTAGATCTTTGGCCTTCAATATCATCATCATTGAATATCATTGCTTCCAACTCTGATTCATCTAGAGAAAGATTTGCAACCTCCAATAATCACATATCATCAAGTCACTTGAACCCATCTCCAACAACATCCCACATCTTATTATCACATATCATATAAAGTGAGGTTTTCCTTGATAGAAGACGAAGATTTATATTCCTCATAAATCATAATGAATATTCTCTATTTGAACTAATATCCTTCAACATAGAAATTATAATTGATATGGAGTGAAATCAAAATATCTCAATAATAAGACAACATAAATACAATAATATACCAGTTTGTCAGGGGTCCAAGGGGGCGTTGTCCCCTGGCTGGGTTCGACCTGCCAGGGTAAGAGTAATTTTGAAGTTATGCTTGTTTTTAAAGTTCGTAAGTTATTTGTATGGAAAGAGATCAAGCGGTACCGAGCGATACCAAGCATGTACCTAACGGTACCGAGCATGTATCTAGCGGTACCGAGCATGTACCTAGCAGTATCGAGCATGTACCTAGCGGTACCAAGCATGTACTAAGCGGTACTTAGCGATACCTAGCGGTACCGAGCATGTACACTAGCTTTTTTTTTTTGGTAAGTTTCAAAAAACAACAATTAATATTTTAGGCGTCGAGAGTCGGACGTCGATGTCATTTATTAGTCACCGAGAGAAGAGATGAAAATTCCTTCACTGCCAAAAAGAAATTAAAATGAGAATATTCGATGTTTGGGTATTAAGTGCGGACGTTGATTTGGTGTTGTGGATAAGAAATAAGAAATTTAATTTAAATCCTACAAAATATAAGAAATTATATTTAAAAAAAATTATAAAATATTTAAGATACGCGTGTTGGACAGGAGTGTCCAATTTGAATTTAATATTTTTTAATCGGACACGTTTTTGGCATGTCCGACACGTGTCGGAGGAGTGTCGGACACTATGTCGGACACTATGTCGGACACTGTGTCGGACACTGCACGCCTCTTTGAGGAGAAATGTCGGTGCATCATAGGTCACTGGAGTTACTCCAACCTTTTCACGCATATACTCATTTCGGAACCTATCTATAAGAGTGAAGCCACTCATCCAACTAAGCACCCTCATCTCTGCAACAATTAATTTTATGCTTCTCTTTTAATGACCAACATTCTGTGTTATTAAGCATTGCTGGTCTCACCCCCATCTTATAGAATTTTCTCTTAAATTTGAGGGGTATTTTTCTATCACACAACATGCTCGATGCATTTCTCCACTTCAACCATCCAAATTTTATTGTACTAATAATATCCTCATCTATTTCACCATCATTTTGAATAATAGACTCCAGACATCTAAATCGTGTACTCTTATTAATGACTTGATTGCCTAAAGTCACAATCTCCCATTAGATTTATTACAACTAAAATTACACTCAATTTATTCAATTTTAGATCCATTGATACAAAAACCTTTGGTCTTTAAAGTTGACTTCCATAATTCAAGTTTACCTTCAACTCCCTCTCTAGTCTTATCAACAAAAATATCATCAGCAAAAATATACACCATGATACATCCTCTTGCAAATGCCTAATAAGAATATCCATGACTAAACCAAAAAAAAAAAAAAAGGTCGTTGATGTAATCTAACTGAAATAGGAAAATACTGGTCAAATCGTCAGATGGTTAGATCGTCGCGTTAGAAAGCAGAGGCAGGAGGCCAGCGGCGGCGTGCAAAGAGGAAAACGCCCTCGCACGACAGATTGGCCCAGAGATCGTCTAGGAAGAATTCCCGCAGCGTGCGATGGAGTCACTCGCAGAAAGACGAGAGGCCGAGGGAGGCAGCTTTGCGCACGCTACAATCGCGGAGGAACTTATAATTTTCCGGTGAAGGCACGCGGTACAGAGAAGGAGCGCACGGGTGGCGTGCCCTAAGATGGCACGGGGGACGAGAAATTATAAGTTCCCCATTACGTACACAGTCATAACTGCGACAATAGTAACGGCGCGGGATTCTGGGTATGTGTGTTTTAGCCGCGGGAGAGATGCAAGGTTAGGTATATATATATATATATATAAATATATAATTCATTTGTCATGAAACCCGCGCTCAGAATTAAAACCACGAATAAATTAGGATTTTAAGAGTTTTTCGCTTCAATGTTGATCTCTGTTTTCGCACCAACAGTAATTCTTGCTTCTCCCTAAGCTTATTATTATTATTATTATTATTACTATTTTTAATTTAAGTCAGTTATCTTCCAACAATTATTATATCATATGATCAGACGTAGAGCTAGGTTCGGCCGCTAATAACATGTCGCCACGTGCTCTTACTCTTTATCGTGTGGCTCGACGACTTGATCCGGACCGGAACTCGGGAATGCTATGTTCGCGTATTGCGAGGAATTACTCGGTATTTGCTCGATATTGCTCGGTATTGCTTGGCAATAACGAGAAATACCGCTCTGTAAAGACTAATACCGAACAATACCGAGCAATACCGAGTTGTACCCAGTTTTCTAGAAAACTCGGTATTGCTCGGTATTTGCTCGGTATTGCTCGGTATTTGCTCGGTATTGATTATTGCCGAGCAAAATCAACTAATACTTGCAATACCGAGCAATACCTAGCAAAATTGAGAAATACCAAGCCATCCTGGATTCGTTCCGGGTCGGGTTGTCGGGACGCGTGATAAATAGTGAGAACGCGTGACGCGATTCTACTGGTGGCAAAACTTAGAGCTATGTCCTGTGACCGGACAAAATAAAAGTTCCAGTACTTCACCTGTGCTTCCTTCGTTTTCGTAGAGCTATGTCCTGTGACCGGACAAAATGGGTCATGACAATGAACCGGAAAAAAAGAAGCTTCACCTTTCAATAGGTTAGACCTGTTCATATAAAGAATTAATTCGAACCGATTGAACAGATTGAACGATTGAACCGATTGAAGTAAAAAATAATAATATTTTTGAAATAATATTTTTTAATATAAATTTAATTTACATATAAGTATATAATTTAATAAAAATTATTAGTAATTAATATTAAATATTTTAATATAATTTTTAAATATAAATTATATAACTAATTTATACTTATAATTTTAAATTTAAATATTTACTAAAAATAATAATAATGATATAATTATCATGTAAAAATATAAATTTATTAGTTATTTATTTATTTATTTATTTTATTAGGTTTAGGCTTAGTTTATTAGTTTACTTTAGTTTAGATATTATTTATTATCAGTTTATTATTTATTTTTTTAGTTTATTAGTTCTTTATTATTAGTTTAATTATTACTATTTATTTGTTATATTTCTTATTTATTTATTAGTTTATTATTATTTATTATTATTTTAAGTTTATTTGAGTTTTTTAGTATTATTAAATTTATTTATTTATTTCTTTATAATTTAGTTAAGGTATTATTAGTTAATTTTTATATAGTTTATTATTTTT